TGTGCGAAAGCAGCAATCTGATTTAGTGCCGTACACAATTTACAATTTTATTTGTATTTTTATTATCGGTCTGGGGCTAATAAACAAGAAATACAATCGCTTCTTAAGCCGCTTAATTGGCATTTTATTTATTTTCTTATTGTCTTTAAGTACTGGTTTTTGTTACGCGTTAATTTAGTAGACATGTAATTACCTTAGTTTTGATTTAAAAAAGTGATAATTTTCGTCTTAATTTGCTTTTAAAATTTTAAATTTTTGTACTCTTATTAAAGAGTGCATGATATTAAACCTCTCTATTCTGCAATAAACAAAGTGAACCGGTGATGGAATTTGAATGGAAGCGCTAAGGTATTCTAGTTTAGGAGCATGCATTTCAAGTAATTTTTGAAGTGAAAAAGAAAAATATAAATTCATATTTTTACCTTCCTTTTTTTTTAGATATTTATTAACATTACAAGAATACAAGAAAAAATCAAAATTTAAAAAATTTGCAGCTGATGAAGTGGGGTTTCAAAAAATTACATATACGACCACGGTTTCAACACTCCTAGCAATCTTAAACCAAAAAATTATTAATATAGAATAATGTCACAAAGTCTGATACTACGGAAAAGTGGCAGCTATATGCCATAGTGGTCCGATATCGTCGGTTTAAATTAATGAACAGGTTCTTTGGGAAACAAGACTGGTGCTAAATTTCATATATTTCGATATATTAAAAACTGAGCGACTAATTCGCGAATCTATAGAGACAGACAGACGGATATGTTTAAATGGACTCAGAATCACCAACGTTTCCTTCTGGGTATTTCAAACTTGATGGTAGTTTTAATATACGCTGCGGGGAGTATAAAAATATCTATCGCATCGCAGTTTTAAATTAAATCGTCGCATTTCAAGTATCTTCAAAATACCAGTAAATTAATTTATTTCAAATTGAAACTCTTTAACATTCACTATGTCTTTCTGCGACTTAAATGCGCTAACGCATCACACTCTTTACACGCAGTCAAGTAAGAAATTCGTAAGCTTCAACTCAAGTAAGTTAATACAATTCAAATGCCACTTTTATGCCGCAATGAATATGCAGAAAAGTGCTTTTACACATCAAGAAGCGTGCGCCAGTTGTACGCTCTGCAAAAAACGAGCCAAAAATGTTTTTTCAAATGAGAGCCACGCCAACACACACACATACGCGCATGCACTGCTTGCTATTGTTACTGACGTTCCGTTATGCTTATTGCATTTTTATTGTTGTCTTGCTAATGGTTTTGCTTTTGTCTGATATTAAATGAAATGCAGTTGGCAATGCCAACATCAACACCAACTACAACGACAATGGCAACGGCCTTGTCCTTGTTTGTTGCATGTTGCACACACTCCATTGGATTAACTGACTCACTACGTACACACACGTATTGAAGGGCTTTCATATGGTAAAGAGCTTTTATATGAATTCAGTTGCTAGCGCATACCGTGACCGCCTGATAGTAGCGCATCTGTGGCATTCATTTAACAGTCAGGCGCTTATTACGCGCACAGGTGTGCCATGAGTGCGGTATGTAGGAGGCACGTTGTGCGCAGGTATAAGTGATTATGCAATTCACAGTATTACAATTGTCGTTGTATATTCGCACGACACTTACAGTTTTTATCCACCTAGGCAAATGTACGTGTACGCGCCACAACACTGCAGAGAGCGCTTATATAAACCCAGCATTAAAAAGTAGTGTTTCTGGTATAAGGACGTGACCTGATTGGGTTGTTTACATATATTTCATCATTTAAAGTTTATGCTAAGCAAATATCAAAAGAAGAGGATTGAAAAACCTGCTGTGGATAGTAAATAATAACAGCCTGAGGTAGGACAGTGGAGACCTCTAGGTCAAAAGAACATTCTGGAGAAACTCGAAATTCTAACCGAAAATTGGTATGCAATTCGGACCATAAAGTAGCTGACATAAAGTTTGCGACTGCTTCGTTTGGCACTGTATCGGCCGTTTAATACGCTTTTCTATATTTTATATGAAATAAAAGTTCTACTTGTATACAAAAATAAAAACATATAGTAAGGTGATACATTAGATCGAGTGAAATGTTACCCTTACAGTCCAATTATAAATGTTACTTGTCTATTATGTATCATATCGACAATTTTGACATACATACATTTTTTGTATCAGACTGTGCTTACTCATATTATTTGTCATATTTCAATTGTCAATTAACATAGTTTTCAGATCTACTTTACATGTGCTACTTTCATCGCTTATGTATAGAGTATGAGTTTATCTACACTAAGGTAAGTCTGATTTTCACAAAAGCTAGAAAAAAATATAAATACTGGTTTTCTAGACGATTTACCAACTGGCAATTTGGTTAGAATATCACTACATTGATATGTGATACAGGTAACTGAAATTACCACACGGCCACACCGAAGCTCTAATACCCTTCACAAGTGCATAGGATAAAAGGATCTTATATTTGTAAAATAATCTGTGTCAAATTCGGTGAATATATCTTGTTAATTTAAAAGGTTTACCATACAAGGACTTTTCGACCGATCAGTTTGTATGGCAGCTATATGCTATAGTAGTCCGATCTGAACAATACTTTTGGTGATTGTAGCGCCGTATTGGGGAATAATTTTTGCTAAATTTCGTGAATATATTTTGTCAAATAAAAAGTGTGCCATACAAGGACTTAATTTTAACCCATCAGTTTGAGGGCAGAACTTACTCTGAGTTATGCGCTACAATCATATATGCCTACGTATGCATTTATAGCCCTTAAGCAATGTAAATGCTTTCTGACGATGCAAAAGAAAGTGTCGGCTGCAGGCGCATGCTGTTATTGTCGCCTGGGCTGTATTTGATGTTTGTTTTTTGTTTTCATGTTTTGTTGCTGGCAATGATCCGCACTACAACAGCACTTATTTCACGCTCAGCTGCCTTACGTTACGCTACTTTACGCTCGCACGGATATTTAAATCCCAGCCTAAGGACAATTGTCATACTACTGAAATTGTCAGCTATCATTGCTTTTGTTGTTCTGTTGTTTTCACCGCTCCTTTTGGTTGAGGCTGTTGTGTATTCCTTTTTAGTTGTTGCTACTTTCCTGCTATTTACCTGCATTCTTTATGCACTCATTCCAATCAATTTACATACAGCTCACACAGGCTTAACTTCCCTATTTGCCAGCCAACCCCACGGCGTATACGTAACAAATAACTACTCTACACGTTGGCATTTATTTTCAGGCCAAATTTTTTTGTTTCATATGCACATATGTATGTGTTTATGAAGTGTTGCATATGCGCCTCAGTGCATTTAAAAACGTTTTGTTATTTTAAATGTTGTTCGTGTTATTGTTGTAGTTTTAACTACAATACTCGTTTTTATATATTTTTTATAGTGTTGCAGCACCTGCAGCGACAAATTAACACTGTATGAGCAGCTTGTGAACGCGTAACTGTTGAAAAGGGAAGAAAAAAAAAATAAAGCAGAGATTGTCACAAGTCGCATTTGCGCTGCATTTAAATCAAATATATTTTGACTACAAAAACACTGCATCAGAGGAATTTGCATTAAAATATATACAGCTTAACTCTAAAGTACAATTTGGGTTTTTTGTAAACGTTGTGTTGAATTTTGCTGTTGCAGAGGCTTTTTTTTAAAAACGATTTTTATGGGTAATGCTGCGTCATAGAGATGATCAAAGCTAAATAGGTTTCGGAAAATTAAATATTTTTTCGGTGTGTTTCCACCTTTTTTTTTGTGTAAATAAGTTAATATATTTTAAAATAATTTTAATATTTTATAAATTTATTATTATAAAAAAAAAAAAAAAATCCTAGATAAAACTGTTATATTAAATAACAAGAGAAGAATATTTTTAAGAAATGTTTTAATTAAAAGGTATTTTTTCAAGAATTGTAGTCATTTGTTTCCAAATATCGTATATAAAAATTGCGCTGGGAAATATTTTAAGGACATTGTTGAGAAGAATGAAATATTCTAATTATAATATCACCTTTAGATTTGTATACCCTGAAGGACTTGTTTCTATGCAATTTTGTGAAGATAATTCACACAGTGACCGACTTATTGGGCACAAAGTCTGCTAGATGGAATCATTATAGCGCGCATATTGGGACTGATTGTTTTAACCATTGCCATTACTAAAGAATACGCAAGTGTTCTCGCTAACATGTTTTTGTGAAGATATTTTATACACTCTTCGAAATGTTGAACACAAAGTCTGCTAGAATTACAAAAATTATTGATATATACGTGTATTTATATTATTAAACTATAGTATATCCACAGTTATACGTTAAATTGATTTTCCTCAGATGACTTACATATTTAATGATCCACATAAACGCTATAAAGCTAACCGGAAGTTTAAAATTTTTACATTGAGTATATTTGAGCAAGTGGGCAGTATTGGCCCAATTTAAACAATTTTAGATATTAAGACATATCATGTTGTTGTAAAATTCTGATATTAGTTATATGGAAGCTAAAGAAAATTTTCACTTGATTTCATCTATCTTACCTACACTGCCTATGCCCATCTACAATACCGTCCTTGGTCAAATCAAAGAACACGTGTACAAAGTTTTAAGACGATATCTCCATTTTGACTTAAGTTGCAGATTGCACAGACAGACGAAAGGATGGACGGACAGACCGATCAACTCCGCTTGTTATCGTGATCATTTATACATATATAATTTTATATTTAACTCGTTCAGTTTTAAGTGGTACGAACAACCGTTAGGTTAACAAAATTATTATACTCTATAGCAACATGTTGCATGAGTATTAAAATCCGAGCGCTTTCTAAGTGCATTGTGCTTATTTATTACATGATAGTATATATCTAAAACAATATATCTAATAACTTAATATAAATAAAAATATATAAAATATTCTCTTAGAATTTTCTATAGTCTGCATTCAAATTTTAATCAATATTCGACTTTTTTCTAGGCTAACTCAGTGAATAACGATTGAAGAGCAAATGTTGGAGAGTGCACTCGGTTACAGAAATACTTTTACGAATATTACGAAGCTCAAACACAAATACGAATGGATCAGCTAAGCTAAAAGACATTATTATCAAGAGGTTTAAGGAGAGTAAAGTATTTAGTAAACAAATACTAAATAAACAAAATTAAATTTAAACACTAAAAAATGGATATTAACGAAGGAAGAGGTAAAAGGGTTTAAGCTTTGTAATAGTGAAATATGAAGAAAATTTAATGCTCTCTTATATTACAAAAAAAAAAAAACAGAAAATATAACCTGGCAAACAATGAATGCACTAATTAGCATGGGAATTAGATCGAATTCTACGCCAAATTAAAGCAAATTATACATAATTAAACGAGGTAACTTTTGCAATTAGCACATGAAAAGCCATTTATGTAATAAACACTTGAAATTTTAAAAACTGCCTGCTATATAAAATTGTATGAATTCGTAAGAAAATGGGGTTTGGACCAAATACAACAAGAAGCACCGTAAGCAGCAAATGCATGGAATAATTTTACTGCCATTATAAAAGGAATACGCCATTAAACGCAAACCGTTAGGTGCATAAATAGCAATAACAAGCATTTCATTTAGCGCCCAGCAGCCAAAGAGCATAGAGCGGACAGCAACGCCAATAGCGGCAGCATCATTAGCTGCACCAAGAGTCAGACATTTAGAAAGGCGCTACATAGCGTCATTATGATAATGTTACTACGTTACTTGCACTTGCTGGAAACGAAAACCACCGTACTTTCCATACTCTTCCTACTATTGGCATGTGTCGGCGATGGCGGCGGTAACAGTGGTACATTCGTCACAGCGTCAACAACAACGCATATCGCGAACAATCAAAATGCCAACACACGAAATTACAGCCGCAGCGGACGTGATATCACTGCTTATGGGGTCAGTAGTAGTAGTAGTAGTAGTGGTGGTAGCTCTTCAGCAGTCTTTCGTGCGCTTATCTCCGCCTCATTAACGGACAGCAACAATCGCCTACAGTCAGCCGCCGCATTAGCGGCTGAAGACAGCGGTTTGCAAATGTCGCTCGTATCCTCACCGATAACGACTGCCTCACTCACCGCAAATAATATATTTCTGGGTCCGTCGCTCTCATTGACAAGCAGTAGTGCCGCATCTGCTACCTCCGGCGCTGGCTCACTGCTACAATCCGCTTCATTGGCGGGTGGTGCCGGTAGCAGTAATAGCGGCGGTAGTGTTAGTAGTAGTGGACGTAGTAGTCGTCAAAATATCGGTGCCGGTATAACCAACAACAATGTCAATAGTCATACACATGGCGATCAACTGCCAGCGCAACTATCCTCGCGTATTATACACACACGTAACGGCGCCATATCCGGTGTTATTGTGCAACTTGAAGGTCGTCACTTAGATCCGGTGGAAGCGTATCGCGGCATACCGTACGCTTCACCACCTGTGGGCAATTTACGCTTCATGCCACCTGTTTCAGCGGCCATGTGGTCGGGCGTGAAGAAAGCAGATAGGTGAGTGCAAATTAGCGAATATTTTATGACGTCAGTACTTACGTACATTAAAGTTTATGGCAAGTTATCTAAGTAATTTAAAAGTGTAATGAAACTACGCAACAAAATATAAAAAATAAGAACGGTGAATATTTATATTAAGTATATGTAGTATTGTATATAAGAGTATTATCGAAATTTTTACCACAAAAAAAGTTAAGAGCCTTATGGGCATAACAATCTCCTATCTCTAATGTATATTGACATTTTTATAGTACTGATTATACATACCTGGTTGTTACCCTGACCATGATAAGCAGGAAGGCAGAGCACATGGACATATTTACTTTATTAAAAAAAATCTTGACTTAATTTCATCTTCAAGAACATAACTAATGCGTATAACAGATTTTTTTGAAAGCCTTATAACTAAAAGTTTATGAACTATTTAAATCAAAGCTCACCTGTCAAGGAATTACAAAAAATTTTGCTTATCTTTTGGCGCGCAGCGGTTATTCATATTTTTCCCTTAACCCATTAAATAGTTAATAAATTTCTTACAAACAGGATTGCTTACTAAATTAGAAAATTAAATATATACGTACACACCTCGTATAGGTATTTACACATATATATAAATATATATATATAACAATATTTTTCTTGCGATTTTCCAATTTTTTTTGGTTTAAAACTACTAAATATATTTACAATAATATTTTGCTTGCGTTGTTTTTTTTTATATATAACTATTAAACATATTTTTTTGTATGCAAATGTAAAGAAACAGTTCTTTGAAAGTTTAAGGCTCAGCAGAAACTTTACCGAAAGTTTTGCATTAGAAATTACCTATGTGCAGGTCAAACAAGATACAACTATAACTTCGATTGCACTGAAGCTATAATACCCTAATACACAAATACAAAATCTTCCTAACAAGCACTTGATTTCGATTGGCGAGTTTGTTGTACAGTAGCTTTATGCTATGATGATCCAATCTAAACAATTTCTTTGAAGACTGCACTATTGCCTTAGACTATAACTCATGCCAAATTTCAAGAAGAGATCTTCTCAAATGAAATAGTTTTCAATACAAGCATTTGTTTCCAAACGTTCAGCTTCTTAGTGAGAAAAGAACGTGCGCAAAATTTCAGATCGATATCTCAAAAACTGATGGAGTAGTTCGCGTCTATACAGACAGACAGACAGATGGCCATGGCTAAATCGAGAGTGTTCGTCATGCTGATCCTTTATATATGTATGTTATCTATAGTATCTTCAACGTTGCCTTCTGGGTGTTACAAATTTCCTAGCAAACTTAATACACGGTGTTCGGGGTATAAAAAAAGGTGTTGCGTAAAATATAAACGTGAAGCAAAACATTGAAAAAACACATGTGGAAGCAGAGCAACTTGTGACTAGCAGCGCATGCTATTAAACCGATGATTATACAAGTACATGGAAGATAAAGAAGCGCAAAAAAAATGATGTGATATCGTGATTGGAAAGAAACACAAAGAAGTAGCATCTTCTTTGCAGTTGCGTATGCTTGCATTGCGAGTAATCAAAAATGGATTTTCTGATGCGCAGCTTTACCACAGGCAGTTTATTTAACGAGTTCAGCTTGATGGCGGCCTTCATACGGCACAATAGTCTAAGAATGTGTCATGAGTTTTTCATCAAATGGTGGTTGCCTTGAACTGCTTGGCATTGAAAAGATCTTAATATTTTCGTTTTACACATCTTTTGTTCAATAAATCATGTGATGGAAAAACACACCAGTAAAAGCAAAATGTGTAAATCATAATATTCCGATGAGGTCACTGATATGGAATGCAAATGTTTGCGTTGTGATTTCGTTTTCTTTTGAGTGAAAAGTGGATTCAAATCCTCAAACGTTTTAGTTCAATAGCCGTCAACTTGCAAAGGTATTGTTAAACCTTTCGGTGAATTTCGAGTTCAGAAAAGTTTTTTCATAACTACTGTAGGATTTCACAAATTATTTTTTAGTACGATTTACATTTTGTTTGAAATAGTTTTCAATCTTGTTAGTTACATTTTGATATTCGCTGAATAGCTTTCTGGCAAGCATTTAAAGAAGAAGATAGTGTATAAGAAAGCCCAAAATATAAACTCATATGAACTTTTCAACCTACCTGGAACACCAAAACACAGATCCCAATTGAAAGACTCAAAGAAAAGTCAAAAATTCTTATGAACAAATTTCCGAATTATATCTCAATTGGTGTGATTATGCAACTCGTGCTATAAATAACTTTTTTTTTCATCCACACATACCCCTATGCACTGATTGCAATAACATAAATTTCGATACTAATACCTCTACCGTAGATTGTTTTATTATTTCGCACACCTGCATACTACCGTTACGCGCGCACATTTATGGCTGTTCTTACGAGCAACATATAACTCTCTGCCGCGTCAACATCGTAAATTGCGTTTGGCGTTAATGTGTTGTAATAAAAATATTTACCGGCTGGTATTCTCCATCGATATACATTTGTGCTGAGTAAACGAAAATTTTATGATTGCCAAATTGCTGCAACGCACTAAAGTGGCGTACACACAGATACTAAACATATTTGTTAACAAAAATGCTTATATGTACATACACACAAGGACATGCATGCGTTATGAGTGGGTGAAGGTATTTACAGCGTTGCATTAAAATTATCGAAGAAATTTCAATAAGTTACTAATATAAAATACTTGAGATTTCGTTCACCTACTACACATATATACATATATATATATATATATACAAGTGTATATAAATATATACATTAGAGTGGATCCAAAAAAAACTAAATACTTTTTTCACATGAGCCTCTAAGAAAAGCTCTCTAAGTATGAGCTCTTTAATGTAGCGGGATGATTATTCGCTTTATATTTTGCTATTTTTTTTCTTTGCTATCAGATAGAACTATTCAAATCTTGCTTAGAACTGCTTTAAACAAAATTTTGTTTCATAGGTTTTGTAGAAGATTTAATGTTCTACAAAAAACTCTATAACGATTTTTTCGTAAACCTAATAATTTAAAAATTAAAATCTGTGAAATCAAATTTTGTTTCAAGCAATTGGAAGAGCGATTAGAATTTTTCTATCTGATAATAAGAAAAAAATAGAAAACTATAGAGCGGAGGAACTTCCCGTTACAGTTAAGAACTCATAGTTAGAGAGCCTTTTTAAAGGTGGCTAAGATCCTATTTTCGGAGTAACAAGCGAAAAAGAAAATGTTTTTTCTGACCAACTCTAATATATATATTTATATATACGCACATACATAAACATAAAAGCAATACACGCGCACGTGTATATTTAAAGACAGCGTTTAAAAACGCTTCAAACTTTTATTACCACCAGCATAATGGGACAAAAGACAAACGGGATGAGCACACACATTTGTGGTAAACATACTGGTGTTGTTAAACGTATGTATGTATGCTTATGTGTATGTAATTCTGCAAAAGTTGACATAATGTTTGCGAACTTATATATTTACAAACGTAATGGTAGGGGGTCAGCAAGGTAGTGGTTGTGTGACATCAAACGCACACACAAATTTTTTCTGCAATAAATAAGCTTAGAGAGCATGCACGTGTATAATTTTATTTGTAAATAAAATTCTGTAGATGTATCGATTGTAGGTGTCTGTTATATTTTAACTGTAATTATGCTTAATACCCACAGTAAATTTTATATATGCTCAAATATAAATAATTGAGCAATTTTAATGCAATCGACTCTTAAGCATTTTATAATGTCAAGCGAGTGATGAAGGTTGGGATCAGTATTGGCGTAAAAATATATATCTTTAATATATAAGTGAAAAAAAAAATGTTAACTTCAGTGACACGGAAGCCACCCTTCACAAATACATAATTATCCTTACACTAACTTGATTTGGATCGCTCAGTTTGTATGGCGGCTGTATGCTCTTGTAGTCCGATCTGAACAATTTCTTCGTAGTTCATAACATGGGCATAGGCAATGACTCGTGTTCAATTTCTTAAAGATATCACGTCACATGGAAAATCTTTCCATACAGGCACTTTATTCTGATCGTTCAGTTTGTATGGCAGCTATATGCGATAGTTGACCAATATCAGTGGTTTCGACAAATAAACAGCTTGGGGAGAAAATTTGTTGTGCAAAATTTTAAATCAATATCATAAAAACTAAGGGACTATTATGCGTATAAACAGACAGACAGAAAGACTCCTTGATGCAGTGTAAGCTATATTCCTCTATTAGCTGAAACCTTAAAAAAAAACTCTCTAAAAGACTTTTGCCGTAAAATTGCTTACAGTCGCGAAAAAGTTGAAATTTTCCCAAAATTTCGTATTTATAAGAGAAAACTATTGAAATATGAAAAATTAAGAAAAATATGTTTTTCAAAATTTCACACTAAGTGTGACTTTTAACAGATATTCATAGCTCTAATATTATGATAACATCCTTCCAACCATTATTCGACTTCAGTGAGCTAAAAAATTGAACATTGTCGATTGGAAAGAAAGAGCAGTATACTAATTTGAAAAGGAGATGAACCTATCAGGCTACTGAATTGCCTTCAGTAGCAATAATGTGTCAGTACTAGTTGATTATATAATATATATTTTGAACAAATTAATAGTTCGAATTTCATCATTATAGATTCATATCTGAGCCAAAAGCTTCAAAAGCTGCGTTCTTTAACAAGGTCTTGGATATTTTCAATTTAAACTGAAGTTAGCGTCTTCTTTTAGATTTCCAACATAGGTGCTTCGTATGACTGCAATGCTTACGTTATGTCGATTTGTTACTTTTAAAGCCGCTCTTTGCATTACTATATAATTTAATGCTTAACATAACATCCCTAAATTGACTTGTACACCCGTATTTAGCGGATAAATATCTGAACTTTTCGTAGAAGTACCTGCAAAGGCAACACTCGTAACTAAATTGCCAGAGACAGTGGAACTAATAGCGTTATAAATAAAAAGCTTTTCACACTTAATCTTGCTTCCCCATTTAGTGTTCTTCCCAGTATCCTACTATGTCTAATGTGGATTATACGCAGCATTAGGCATCTCAATTACAAAATGAGTGTGGCAAACTTGAGAGATATGTACACACACTGTTTGTATGTGTGGCTTTCAGATTCTGCAAAATACTCATTTGGGGATTATGTCGCTGTCGCCACTACACATATACATAAACATGCGATTGCACCATATATTGTACATTAGCGACTGCTTTTCCACCTTTGTAGCTTTTGAGCAAACTGATTTAACATAAGAGATTACGAACAGACAGGGGGTTGCATGAATTTGAGCGCTGAGAAACTTGAACGCCATAGCTACCACTTAAGTCAAACGAACGAAATATTATAACGCTAAAGACCAAACATTTTTCACAAGTATGATTCTATAAGCATTTCAGTTTCGACTTCAGTGACCTTTCGACTACTTAAGTCTAATAATTTGGTATTATGGACAGACTAGTATTCAGAAAGTATGACAAATGACGTGTAAATAAACATGACGGGAAAGTCACTCTGGCCACAAGTTGGGAGTAAAACGAAATTTTGCAGCTAAGCGTGTAAGACAGAAATATGATTCTTACGTAAATTTTATACTTATCTAAGAATATAAGTTTGCTGTAAAGTGGTTTAGGTTATTATCAAAAATGGTCATTCTCCTGGGTTAATAGTTTTCGATTTATATCTTTCAGTCAAACCCTTGATTTCATCAACAAGTCCCGATTTTTATTCAAGGTTTTTAATCTTTTTAGATCTTTTTCCCCAAACTCTATTAAGTTTTATAAAGATAGTATCACACGCCTTCAAAACTTACAAATCTTAGGAATATAAATATTTGGCTTTCTCCCACTCTGATTTCCGCAAGAAAAATGTTTGCAATAGAATAGAGTGAATATATATATCTAGTCAAACGCAAACTAATTATGTATGATTTGTAATTATCTAATCATTAGCCGCCACATCCATTAAAAATGATTTAGCTGATTAAATATACACTCAATGTATATGGTGTGCTCTTTGTGTAGCTTTCGCAGTTATATCTAGTTGCCACATTGTAGTGGCGTTTAAGCATTATAATCCATCAACGCAGCTGTATTTTCAAAATTAAATATGAACTAATATAAAACTCTGACATTTTTAAATTATAATTGAATTTGTTGGAGTCAGGCAATGTTTTTGCGGTAGGAAACGCAAATAAGCGCGCATTGTATGCATTTATGATATTTACCATATCTTAACTAAACGGTGTTTTTTAGACCAGTTGTTTTTCAAGCGCATATAATTTCATATTATGGTCAAGAATTTAGCTTTATTATAAAGATAAGAGTTTGCTATTATATTTTAGGATTAATTTAGGGCAAGTGACCGCCGCGGCTGGCTCGAATAAGTTCCAGTTTCCGAGAGAACACATTTTTGCGGCAATTGGGGACGGAGATCAGCAGTAACGCGCCGAATATATTCTTCCAAGACGTTAATCGTTTTGAGCTAATCTATGTAGACAAGCGACTTCACATAATCCCACAACAGTCAGTCCAGCGGTATTAAATTGCATGATCTAGAACGGCACGCCGCAGGCCTACGGGGAATGATAATGTGCTCACCACAAGTTTTCCTCAAAAAATGTATTGTTTCGTTGGCTGTATGGCATGTAGCGGCATCTCAGCAATGGCTTGTTTATTATCATCACTTTAAATTCGACAATTTTTTATTAACATTCTCATTCAATCAAAAGTGAGCTTCATCGCGGAACGAAATTGTCTTGTGAAAATCGAGATCGGTGCTTATGTCATATTGGGCCCCTTCACCAAACGTGCGGCTATCATAAAGTATATGTGCACAACTTTAACTTTTACGCGCTCGACTCATTCGGGTCTTCTTCAGTACTCTGCTCCACAACAGCAATAGCGTCTTCAATACGCACTGAATGGCGTCTCAGAGCATGCGGATTATCTACTAGAATAAACGGGGTGCGAAACCAATTCATGGTTGCTCGAACTAAAAACTTTGCTGGGTGATTATGCCGACCAAATATGGGACTTAGAATTTGAAGCTTTATATTTTGATAACTTGCACCTCGTCATAACTAGTTCTGTATCTGTTTCAAAAATCTTCCCATTTTATCTAAGCATCTCTGAAAATCTTATTCAAGCAAACACGAAAACGTTTGTGATTTAAATTAGTTTAATATTAGCTGTTTAACTCCAATATTGCTCCATATGTACGTATAAGTATGTACATGCCTTCATGTAATAATATATTGTATATTATGTTTGTGTGTATACATACATATATGTATATAATAAATCCTTTCCTTTATGCCAGTATGGTGCTTTGTGTAACTTTTTAATAATGGCGCTTGCAAAGTCAGTGCTGTCACTTCCTCCTACACTGGCAGCCAATCTGTGGCATAGCGTAAAGCACTCACCGTACTGCAAAAAAAAAAAGGGAAATTAAGATTTTAATGCTGAAAAAATTTTCATTTCATTTTCGCTGAAACAGCGTTACCATCAACCAGCACTTACTTTCTATCTTGCTGAGTTCTTAACTTTAAGTTTAATGTGTACGTTTTACGTTGTTTGTGTTGGAAGACATTTTTGTTGCTATGTGAATTGCGGTTACGCGTTATGCCATATCCACGCTATACGTTGCTGTTGTTGTTGTTGTCGCCACTTAACTGGTGTGACGAGAATATAAACCCATTAACTGGCAAAGCGTGAGCTACTCTGGATTATATTAGAGTGTAATTTCATAGACCGTCTCAAAGTCTTCGCTGTTTTTATTAAAATTACATCAAGTCAAATGAAATTTTATATACAACATTATATGCTTTGAAGTATTTAAGCGTTTAATATAAAATAGTTTATGCAAAAAATCACGTTAGATTAGAAGGCGGATACACCAGAATAGTAACTAGAAATTTCCAAAACACATATTTGCATAATTTTAGGCGCATTGCAATTTCATCGGTCAAATATCCCACTCATTTTTGTACTTTTCCTCAATGAAAATGTATGCATACCTATATGTAATTTAGTTCCATGATGACAATGCTTTATCTATATATTGTATTATATTATATTTAAAAATATTATACACAACAATTTATTTATAACTCATATACCGAGTTTTTATTAAAATTAACTGCTTTAAATACTATTGAATAACGCATTCTGCGCTTCAAGATAAGAAAACAGGGATATTGAGTTTTTCGTTTATACACAGTTTGTGCTCTGTCCAATGAAAGAATCTTCATATTGGCTACAGTGCTTTTCACAATTTGAAGTATAATTTAAGGCAATTGCAAACATGCAATTTAAAGTCTCTTTCAGCAGAATATATTCCAAAGAATCGAATGTAATTTAAGTCACTAAGTAGTCTCTCTAAGTCTCTAAGTCTCTAAGAAAAATCTTCGGCTTTATTTTTATACCAGCATTATAAAATTTAATGCATAATTCTAACTCTATTTTTGATAGATGAGCGGGCCTGCCTGTTAAGTGCAATGAACTGTCTCGAGTTATTATCTATGTGCAAACTTTTGTTTCTCATCTTCCTCTCTTTAGTTGGAAATTTTTGTTTATTGCTTACAGAAAAGATTACGCGTGTCAAGCGCCATTGAAAATTATGTAATGACATTATATAATATGCAAAGTTAAAAGTGAGATGGTGGTATTTTTATGGAATTAATGGCCTTTTGGGAAATTGCGGAGAAAGTTCAAAAGTTAAGTTAAAAACTTTTTACTTTACGTTGAAATTAGAAAAAAATTATATCTGTACACTCACCAATATGTCTTATTGCTCACGCAGAAGCTAAAATAGCGTTGCTTTGGAATATGTGCTGTAGCAATATTATTTGATAATTGCCGAGTGAGCTGAATGCTTAAACGATAAAGCGGAGCTCTTCGTCAATCTAAGCTTTAGGCTACCTAACTACCGTAGTGTGTTCCGGGCAAAAATTAATGCTATTAGGATGTCTTTTAGTCTATCCTCACTATAAATAGCTACTTCTCATTCATTGTCCAGCCTTTATAAGACTGAGGTTGAACATCTCCGGCAGTCTTACCTTCGGTGAGTCGGGAGACATCGTCGAAACTAACATTAGGTGTCGAAGAGATATAGAAAATTTAGGTAACACAACGTACCGGCTTTTTATGCTGTCCAAGTAAGATCCCCGTTAGGAGCGACCTCATAACCTAGCTCAGTAAAAATATTTATCTGTTTTCTTAAGGATAACGTGAACATCTCACTTGGATGATGCTTAAGCTGGCACTATATGATACAAAGGTTTTTCTGAATTTGTGACTAGTCGACAAATTATTTTATAAGTTTTCTTTTCTACTTCTAAAGATTTAAGGGTAATTTTTCGCATACATAATGCTCAATATTGGTTTTAACTCAAAGACAGTCATTTTTTGGTTACATAAAGGCGTTTTGTTGATGTTGAAGAGGAACTCCTTATACTCCTTATTAGACACGCTATATACTTTTATTACGCTTAAAAAATTACACCGTTTTCTTTTTTATAGAGATAAACTCAATTTTGGACGAAGCAATATGAAAGTTTCCACTTAAGTATATTAAATACAATTAATCAACCAAAATGAATAATATCATCAAATAACGATCATTATTTTTACATTTTCCAACATGTGCTTTACCATACATAGACATTTTAGACATACCATGTTACTAAAAAAAAAATAAATTTATGTATGAGTATATTTTTCTGTCAACTTTTTCTTTTTTTTCACGTACAGATTTAGTCCGGTTTGCCCGCAACGCCTGCCCGATATCGCCAACGAGACAGCCGCTTTAGAGCGCATGCCCAAAGGACGGCTGGAATATTTGAAGCGTCTATTGCCATATCTGCAAAACCAATCGGAAGATTGCCTATATTTGAACATTTACGTGCCAATACAAGGTGAGTGCTATATATGCGCATATATGTAGTTTTAAATATAACGGTTTTGTGTGAACCCACACAGCCAACTTGGGACAACACAACTCTTTATATGTATCTGGGTATGTCTTTATGGGATTAACTAAATTTGCAAAATTCTACGATTTTTCCGATTTATGTGAATTTCTCAAGGGACTGTTTAACGCAACAACACCGCCCGTTTGTTGGAATTGACAGCTGTTGGTTACAAACTGCCAGCGGTCAAAATAGCGTATGGACTTATGGCTGTAAAAAGGGGATTGAGCGGGCGGCAGCAATGCAAAGTATTTGCTTTTTTACACATTAATAGAAAGGCGTGAAATAAATGGATAAGTTATTTATAAGTTTACTAAAAAAATGTTCGAGGGTATGATGTAATAATTTGGCCGAGAAAAGGCGGAGGGAGTAAGCACAAAATTTAACAAAATTTTTGGAGAGCACTACGAGTACAGCGCCTTAAGTGTTGTGAGAAAGGCGAGCTTCTCAAATCAAAAAAATGTTTCAGTAGATAAAATAACAATCACTATAATAAAGGAAAGCAAATAAAAGCAGACCTGGAAAGGTTCACTTATTGAAGTGTTTGTGATGTTTATCCCCTGCACATGCAAGCGTCCTTTGGCACTTCAAACTTTCGACACGCCGTTTGTGCTTCAATCCATTTGACTTTTTGTTCGTTGTCTATGAGTAAAAAAGTATTGTTCTGCATGTATCCCCATAGCTTATAATCCCTTTCTTTTTACATCACCTTTTTTGGGTTTAATTTTTAGCCTGAGGCTGTAGTCTCATTTTACGTTATTACCCATAACAAAATGAAATTAAAATAGCAATATTAAACCGACCAAAATAAGGAATGACCTCAATTTGTTACTTAAAATTCTTGGTTGTCACATTTTTTAAGCAAATATTTGTATTTGAACTTTAGAGACGTCAAATGCGGTGTTTATTCAAAAGCTCGGAAGGGTCAGGACTACAAAAATTTACTTCCAAAATTTTTTTTAGTTTTTTGTTTTTGCCGCCAATCACTTGGCGCATATCTCTTAAGTATGGACTATGCAACCACAACCTTAATTGTCTTTAAGCTTCAACCGAGTAGTGTGCGCTTGTCAAATGCGGTTGCTTCGCGGCAGTCCCGTCAATATTAGAGATCAAGCAGCTCATAGCCGAGTTCGCCACACACTTTGGTAGCAATTTTCGATATTAATTAATGATTGCTTTTTACTACTTTCGTAACATTTCGTCAACCTAAACGTCAGCCATATTATTTAGCTTTAAGCACTCATTAATAGCTACATATTTTCAGCACTCATACTACTAAAACTCTTCGTGTCATCGACTATACCGCATCAACCCATTTCCTGTCCTCCTTTCCTTTTAACACTGCGTAAACTTTCTATTACATTGCTTAAAGCACGACCCTTTTTTCAACATATTTGTATTTTCATTTAACTCTTCAAAACCAAGTGAAATTGCAATTATAAATAAAAATATTTGAAAATATATTATACCAGTTCAATTGAACCCTGTGCAACTGTTTAGGCTACGACAGAATATGCCTTAAAGATGATTTTTGTTAAAATTTCGGCCAAATAGTTATACCCGATGTGTAAAGGAAATAACTTGAGTTTTATAATTTAAAATTTTGCGGGTTCGGGGAGTCCAATTTCCAAATTTTTATCATGTTTATTTACTTGCCTCTGATTTACTGTAAAATTTGCAGCTGTATTCTTTCCTTACTTATTCTGTAGCAGCGGTAAGACGTTTTTTTATGAGCTTGGGGTCTATAAAAAACTTCGTTGCTTGTTCGTGAGTTCTTGGCCAAAAACAATACTGTAACGATGTAACAAAAGTTCAACCACCACAAAAACGTTCATTAACATGAACGTTCAGTTTTGGAAGCAATAAATAGTTCACCTAGACTGTATAGACTTTGTAAAAAATAATAGTTTTATTCATGACTATTTCCGGACATTAGCTGATGCTTTCACTTTGACTTTTGTAATTTAAGATTAAGTTTCGCGGTATATTAAATACTTTAACACACAATGAATGAACAAAAAGAAATATTCTTTCGTCGATGGCAATGACTAATCCTTAATTAGTTTTCCTTTAAATTATTATTATCTCACCCTTCTTTAATTTAATTTTTAAATTTTATCTAGAAGCAATAAATCAGAATACTAATGAAATTTTAACGCAATTTGCGGTGACAGTCAAAAAGAAAAAAATTCCGAGTGTGTCCTTTGCATATTTTATGCTAATTGCTGCGGGATAATAGCAAATAAGCAAAGAAAAATATTACAAGTATATACATAAATAGCGAAAAACGTGAGATGAACTAAGATGAACGAATGAAAATACAAAAAGGAGGGTCGCTTGGCGTAAATAAATTAAAAGATTTTTGAAAAAAGTGACGTCACCTTTATTAGAAAAATTTAAATCCAACAAGCGCCCTTGCTTGCACACACCATCAAATGGAAATTCATTTAAAATATCTAAGTAAATAATAGATGAGCAGAAGGTATAGCTAACGGCGAAGTGTTGGTATGCAATGGAATGTGAAACTGTCGTGAAGAGAGTTACCCGCAGCAGGAAGTTGAGGGGGAAAAGCAAATTAGTCGGTGTATTGCTCGAAATATAAGCGCTCATTTAAGTGTGAGGAGTGGGAATATACTTGGGTTGAGCGATGGTGCATAGACAAGCTAAATGAGTAAATGATTTCATAAGGAAACACGTAAAAGGCGAATTTAATAAATGAAATACATATATCAATTTGATTGTGATAAATGGGTTAGAAAAGGGAAACGCTCATTTAATCTTGGACTTGTGGTTTAATACATAACTGTTTCGCAGCTACATTGGTTTTTTCACTCACACTATTTCACTTGCATTCTTGTAATACACTAGTAATTTATTTTCAATCATAATTATAATTATTATTGTTACCTGGCAGATATGCATCCAACCGCAGCTTTACCGAAAAAAAAAGAAAAAACAGAAAAAAACCTTTTTAGCTCCCGCTCTTTCTTTAAGCATGCATATTAGAATAATTTAATTTGTATTGTATTTTATGACAGTACATTTGTACTTTATTTACACGAAAAAAAAATTAATCAATGTGGATATAATTTTGTTTTTGCGGATTTCGAGACACCCAGTAATAAATCACGGCTGCTAACAGCGGTCAATTATTTGACAATTCATATCACAAGATTTCAGTGTATCAGTAAAAACCCATTAAGTCAGCCCGTAAAATATAGATGTTATGGGAAAATTGAGAGTAAAGCTGCCTGGGAGGTTCCAACTTGAACATGTTCATGTAGAGTATTGACCTCTCTAGAGATAAAATACCATTAGCAGCGAAGTATGCAGATCACTGCAGCTTGTGGTATCGCAAATAAGCAATATGAGTATTTTTTGACAGGTGAGCGATATTAGAGTACTTAGTCTACGAATAAACAACGACTGCAATTAAGGAAAACAAACTCATCGCAATGATGTATCCGTGATGGGAACACCGTTGAGTCCAAGTTTGATGCTACACTTCGTGTGGAAATTTGGCGTAATTATTTTGTAATCTATATTTTTATCTACGACCTTAACTGAGACCTCAATTTGCATCTACCTAAATATATCGGAAAATCTAACGTTCTCCTGAGAGTTATTCTTCACCTTTTTTAACAGAAAATACCTATTATTTATTAAAACCCGTATGGAAACAGACGCTAATATAGGGCAGGTACTACTTTTATTTATGAATGACTACTTTAACTATTGAGTGAAGGCTGACTGTTATTGTGGAAGGCAAATAACACGCTAACCAGTGAGCCCTCGTCACTCTGGCTCTGACCTGTCATATTAGCTCATATTTGGAGCTAAGACCGCTAGTCAATGTATTCTGGTGTTTGTTAGTAATAGTTCCTAATTTTTGTCGGTAACATTCTACGCTCTCATGTCTCTCTGGTGGAATGCATTCTTTAACTACTGCATCCGCAATATTATTTTATGTAAATAAACAGTATTCGAATACAGGTGAAAAAATGCACCAATCAAAATATTTGTTTCGTTTATTACGAAACGCTTGAGTTAATTTCTTTTCAATTTATCGTCTTTTATTTGATTTTATTTACCTGTAATCAACTTTTTGAACTAAACTGAAAATATTGTAAAGTAAAATGTTTTTTGGTTTTGTTTTTTGTGTTAATATTTGTTTTCAAAAACCATCTTACAACTACTCAATGCCACCGTTTACTAACATTGCGAATATTTTTCCAATATACAAATAGACTTACTTTGTTTTGAGTTGCCTTTACCTAAAAGTACAAAAATTATCGAATATTCACAGAAAGTTTGCAGCACAAAAAGGCCAAAGACAATGCAAACATAAAGTGGCAAACTTTTGCAAACTTTGACTTGAGCCGACTGGGTAAATGGAGAAGAAAAACGAAAAGGCAAAATTTAATAAAAGGAAGAGAAAACATTAGCTTTGGTTGCACTAATTCTTGAATACCCTTCAGACATACAAAAAAAAACCATAGTAGTATTAGATTGTGATCGTTCTGTTTGCTTAGCAGCCATATCCTATATTGATCCGATATGGAAAGTTTCCTCAGAAATAATACCGTTGCCTTCAATAAGAATTCATGCCAAATTTCGTGAAGGTATCTCGTCAAACAAAAAAGTTTTTCATACAAGAACTTGGTTTTGAACGTTTAGTTAGTACGGCAGCTATGTGCTACAATGGTCGGTGGTTCCGCCAAATGACAGCTTCTAGAATAGAAGAGGATGTGCAAAAAGTTTCAGACGGACATAGTCACATTGACTCAGCTCGTCACGTTGATCACTTATATATTTGTTTTATAGGGTCTGCGATGTTTCCTTCTGGGTGGTAAACTAGATATACCCTATTAAGGGTATAAAATAAATATGTGTAAAACTAATGGAAAACAACAACGAACAGAAATGATAATGAAAGCAATTGTGTC